ACATGCGACTGCAAAAACACAATGAGATGATGTGGGAAGTTCTGTTACGGGGTAACCGATTACAACTTGTGTATGCTTCTGTGCTGCAACAGCATGCATTCATAGTTTCTGGTTTGGCTGTTACACAGAGAAGCTTAGAGCCCACAAATTTCAGAGATTGAAGCCACTAAAGGTTTGGTAAATTGCACAGCAAACAGGAAAAGCCAACAGGCTGTAGCCAACCGGCTTCAGGCTTGCAGGTTCACATGCACACAAAAAGAAGCCAACAGGCTGACACAAGTTCACAACAAATTTGCAGCAGTTAACAATTGTCTTTTTGCCTTCACAGCCAACTGGCGCTCTTGTGTCTTGGCAACCCCTACAACAATGCCACTTGGCAAGTTGCTCACCCAAAATGCCAAGTCATACACATATGAGCTCCACATAGCTAACCATCAACCAGCAGCATTCAAAGACCAGTGGCCAGCTCTTGCCCTTCTTCAAAAAAAAATCACTTGGACTTTGCTTGCTTTGCAGCGTACCAAGTCTTCCAAGCTTCCCTACCAGCCAAGCGAATGCCCTTGTAAGTGGGCTGGATGCATGCTGAGCAACCTCCCAAGGCTCCCCTGCACCTTGGACAGCCAAACTTGGCTCTAGCAGGTGCATTCTTGACCTTGGGACAAGCGCTTGGTCTCTTCATTGGCTTTGTGGAACCAACACTTGGTGATCCCTTCCCTTTCTTGGCCTTGGCCTTGGCTGCAAGGGCTTGGAAGGCTTCTTCCTCAAACTTTGCCAAATCTGCTGTGTTGGAATCATTGTCCATTTTGCAGTCTTCCTTATTGACTGCTGACTCAGCAGGGGTGCTAGGCAAAGGCAAAGGAGGCTTTGGCGAAGGGCTTGGAGGTGCAGGTAAAGCCAACTGGCTTGCATGCTCATGGCCTGAAGACAAGCTCTCTGAGGAAACCACTTGCTGGTCATTGCTGGCTCTTCTTTGGTTAAGGTAAACAACCCTTGGCTCTTGAGAGGGTTGGACCCACCTCTCCAAGAGGCCCAAGAGTTGAGTTTCCAAGCTTGTACCAGGCACTCTTGCAACCGATCCAGCCTTTGGAGTCTCCTCTGGTTCTTTCAGGGACAAATGGCCCTTCCTCAGAATCACCTGAGGGAAACAGTAGACCAAAACAAAAATGAAAATGAATGACTAGAACACAGATTGCTAATTTGCAGTTGTTATGATTGGCAAAGTCTTGCCTTTTGAAGCCAAATGCCCAAAGAGACCTGCTTGTTAGCTGGTGGCTGTCCAGGGTATGCCTTCATGCGAAACTCTGCTGGCAAAGCAGTGGGATCTGGTGGATATGTTGGCAAGCTTGCAGGTGCACCTGGTGGAGCAGGCATTCTCTTGAAAGGTCTGCAAAGTCATTCACCAAAGACTTCACCATCTTGCTAGAAGGCTCTGGCTTCTGCTGCGCATCCACTTGCATATGCAAGAGCAAAGCTATTGCATCCCTTTTGCTGGACTCCTTCAAGCTCACCATACCAAGGTGCTTCATTCTCTGGGCCAGCACTTGCATTGCTTCATGGTTGCTACATTGGCTGAGCTTGCTCCACTCCTCTTCTGTCAAGTAAGCTGCCAAATTGCTAACTCTCTCTGAGGTGTAGCTTGAAGCCTCAGGTGGCTTTGCATGTGAGAGCCAAGCAGGTCCAACTGCTCCAGGATCTTGTCTTTCCATGTCTCAGGCAAAGCCATGGAGCCAACCTTATCCATGATCTCCAAGACATTCTGGGATGTCCATTCTTGAATGGCAGAGAGCCTGGCGCAGAAGTTGTCCAGCATTGCCTCACAGACTTTGCTGTCTGGTCGAGCTGCTTGCAACTTCCCCAAATTGTCCAGCTCTAGGACAAAATCCTGCACCTTCCATAGGTGTGTCATGTCACCTACAAGGTCACTAGTCTGTGGTGCAGGGCTGCAACAGCTTTGAACCCCAATGCTGAGCAAGGAGCTCAATGGTGGCCACAGTGTTTGCTGCAGGAGTTGGCACATCAGAAAAGCCACCCGGTTTTTTGTACTATAGCCAACAGGCTGGACACAATGGAGCCTGCTTGGGCCAAAAGCCAACAGGCTGAAGACTATTGAGCCAACAGGCTTAAGACCAAACAGCCAACAGGCTTCCACAAGCAACCTCCAAAGTTGCATGAAGAAGCCAACAGGCTAAAGACTCAACAGCCAACAGGCTTCAACAAGAAAGTGTTTAAGCTTGCAAAAGGAAGCCTACAGGCTTGACCTAAAATAGCCACCAGGCTTTGCTGAAAAAAAGGCACCTACATATACACATATATATATATCTATACTTTTGCATACAGGTCAAAGCCCACAGGCTGTAGTGGACAGTGGTCTGCTGCTGATCCCTGCAGGGAATAGATGTGGTTTGGTGAAAC